TGGGACTAGTCGCTGGGACTAGTCGCTGGGACTAGTCGCTGGGACTAGTCGCTGGGACTAGTCGCTGGGACTAGTCGCTGGGACTAGTCGCTGGGACTAGTCGCTGGGACTAGTCGCTGGGACTAGTCGCTGGGACTAGTCGCTGGGACTAGTCGCTGGGACTAGTCGCTGGGACTAGTCGCTGGGACTAGTCGCTGGGACTAGTCGCTGGGACTAGTCGCTGGGACTAGTCGCTGGGACTAGTCGCTGGGACTAGTCGCTGGGACTAGTCGCTGGGACTAGTCGCTGGGACTAGTCGCTGGGACTAGTCGCTGGGACTAGTCGCTGGGACTAGTCGCTGGGACTAGTCGCTGGGACTAGTCGCTGGGACTAGCCGCATGAAACTAGTCACTGGGACTAGTCGCAGGGACCAGTTCAGACGTGTGTGCCGACCTTAAGGGGTTCGAGGGTTCGGAGAGATATCGAGAAACTCCGGCAATGATGAACCATAAAGGTAGGAGATAAATTGAAAAAGTAAAAAGTCTGCCATTTTTTCCAGATGTGCCTATTATATTTGCAATAATAGGCGATCATTCCAGACTCGAGTCTTCGTTTCCGCTTCGGGGGCCGGTGGGGGGACGGGAGGAAATCGAAAAAATCGTAGCGTCCCCCATGCTGTTTTCTTTTCCTGATGAGTCCAAGACTTCTTCAGTCATGGAGTATCATTCTTTTACACATTCTTTTTCAGATGAGAACATCTCAACAGCCGAGAAGTTGAAAAATCCCCTACGTCTCGCATAATTCCGATAATAAAAAAAAACTAGGCTTTATCACGACTTCCCAACTTTATCACCTTTGTAGACTAGTCGATGCAACCTGTCTGTTCTAAGGTAAGTAGCACTTTGGGTTGTATTTCTTTGAAGGACTTGCATCAAGGTTTGCGCATCTTGGATATTTGATTTCACAAAAGTCTTTCAATCCGTCCTTAAGCTTCTATATTCTTTACCAATTTTGTTCCTTTCTTTAGAACTCTTCTTCCGTGGCATATCTATATTTAAGGTTTATTCTCACTTGAAGGTAAATTTCGGTAAAGGAAAAACGAAGCGAAATACTCTAGCAAAATTTTTCAAGTCGGGCCCTCTATGTAGTTAATCTTGGATAGGAAAAAAGAAAGGAATTCTCCGACATCTCTCGAAACACTCACCAACTGGATCCATGACAAAACCTCGTCTTTTCTCTTTGTACAAATAACTGGAAAGATGAAATAAGAAGAAAAGTCTGATAAGTAACCGTGCTAGAGGGACGCAGAAACAAAACCAAGATTATGTCGTAAGAGTTGCAGCTATTTAACACTACTGTAAAGGGCAAATCTAAAAGACATGTTCTCTCAGTGAAATGAAATAAGCCAATCAGAGCTGTTAAATGCCAGCCAATCACAGCTAAGCAGAACGGTAAGCGAGGTGACGCGTAAGGAGTCGGCCACTTCGCCTCGCTTGCAGCATGCAGTTTAAGATTAAAATCTGACTGGTTGAACGGAAGGCGCGAGTTTTCTGGACCAATCACAGAGCGAATAACGGCAAAACTCATCCAATCACGGATAACTTTCAATTATACCCAACTGGGAATTGATCCACTGAGTAATCATTGATTGCTAACTGATCAGCAACATAGGGGACATATAAGCCCGTCCTCATGTAACCTTCCCTTGTTCCATCTCCCGATTACCATAACCCTACATATCCTACGATTAAAAAAAAAACAAAATTACGGTACGTACACGGTACAGAGGCGTATTAACGGTTTCTTTAAGCAGTCGGCTATACTTGAGTCAAGCCGCCAATCGCTGGTTTCTATGAGCTCCTGACGATAAACAAAAAGTGCATTTTTTAGTGACACCTGGTCGTGCATTGCTTATAAGCTACTGTGACTTTCTATGGCGCCTCTGGACAGTGGGCAGCAAAAAGCTCTTCCCTCACTTTCCGATTACGATTTTCACATCGTCTAGCATAGAAGTGTAAGAAAGCCAGAGATTGGAAAGTCAAGTCGCGAGCTAGGAAAACTGAGTCGAACATGTCACTTCGAAGTTTCCTTTCAGACACAGTAACGAGATGGAACAAATTCCATCTCTTTAGAGCGGTATTTCCTTGGCGAAGTACTATGGTACAACTCAAAACACTTTCACGTGGAAACCTGTTAATAATATTAATAATAATAATAATAATAATAAAGATAATAATAATAAATAGAGAAGCTAAAAGAAACCAGTTCATCAACCTCGTTTTCATGAACTCGACCCATTTCCCTAGCTCACGTCCATGTACGTCAAACCTGAGCCATTTTCATTCACTCTAAATCCAAAAAAATTAAAAAACAAACTTTTCAGATGGGTGGTTCACCCTTAAACAGATGTGTTTCACCCTGGCACACTCCTCCCCACCTCAGTCGCTTCATAGTTGTCATCGAAGCAT